TGACTCATTGTTCATTTATTTCCTTTTTGGTGATATATATTAATACTACATCTTTACGTATTCACTAATTAAACATCTTTTTTATGAGTAATTTATAATAAGTAATTTCATAGAACACACGTGTCTTATAAGAAGTTAAATTTTCCTACCAATTGAACTTCAGTAACTGGTTCCAGTAGTTTGTTGTTCAGTGCTATCAACACTTTGTCAAAATTCAAGGAAGAGCAATTTTCCGAAAAAAAAAAAGAAAATTCAAATGATTGCTTTGAATTTTTTATTTCCAAATGAACTTACATTTTATTTTCTTATCGATCTTTGTTGGTCAGATGTGATGTTCCATTCTCATTGAGACATATCGTATTCCACAGAACGGTGCCTCTGTAAGCCAGCGAATCCTTCATAAATCTAGTTTCAAATCTTGGTACTGATAAGCAGTCTCCACCCTGTAGTGAATATCCATTACTCCTTTGTATGTAAATACTATTAGACAGCAATTCAGGCAAGCCACCATTTTGTGCTTTAAAAAAAGTTCTTAAGAATGTCTATTTTATAATATAAATAAATAGTGGGCCACCAATCGTAGGCCAGTACCTCTTTTAAAGGCATGTCTCTTGGTAAGTTAAAAATGATTCGAGATGCTCTACAATGAAGTCTTTCAATTGAATCAAGTAAATTTGAGTTACAACATGCTCCCCACAGTACTCGTCCGTATTTAACATAACAATAATAATAATAATGATATTTATCCAGGGAGCACACTTGCGTTGGTGGTTTTCAGTAGGGCCCTGCAGATAATAAAATAAAATTACCTAGGCAACAAAAATTGATATTACAATATCAAATTAATTTTAAAATAACTCAACAATGAGATAGTGCATTAGTTACAAACTTTTAAGCTTTGCCTTCAAGAGGGACAATGATTTGCTGTTTTTAATGTCAATATCTAAGTTGTTCCAGTCCTTAGAGGCTTGATAAATGAAAGTTTGCATGCCCCAATTGGTACGCATGTGAGGAAGATGTAAATGATTGCTTCTGCGAGTCAGATGAGAATGAAAACTACTATTGCCTCTGATGTCAAATTTAAAATCAATTTCCCCTAATAGATACTTTTGCATCATAACACAGCGATGGAAGTGTTGTCTCTTTGAGAGGGACTTTAGGTCCAAACGATCCAGTGCCTCTGTTGATGAACTTCTTGGTGGCAAATTAAGCAGGACCTTGGCTTCCTTGTTTTGAAAAACTTGCAGCTGACCCATGAGCATGTCGTTATTTTTGTCACTCCACACTGTGTCTCCATAGTCAAACAGTGGGATGATTAAGCAATTATATAGTGTTCGTTTAGCATGTAGAGGCAAAAGACGTCGTATTCTCTATCATTCCAATCCTTTGATTGATCTTTGTACTGATGGTATCAATGTACTCGGACCAAGACAGAGTTTGGTTTATAACAACTCCCAAGTACTTAAGCGAGTCAGACCTACCAATAGCAGTGGAATTTACTTTAAGAGAGATGTCATTGACTAGTTTAAGCTTCCATGGGTTACCAAAAATAACGAAATTGCATTTAGAAATATTTAGTGTCAACAGACTACTCAAAAACCAGTTGGAAACTGTAGTCAAATCTGAATTTAACTTACTTTCAAGGTCAGATAGATCAGTCGAAGAGTAATAAATTAGTGTCATCAGCGTAAAGAATAATTTCACCGGCAAGCTGACACGATGGTAAATCATTAACGTAGATAAGGAAAAGAAGCGATCCTAATATACTTCCTTGTGGCACCCCAACAGTTATTGGTGCAGCAACAGAGTGCGTCTCCGACAGACGTGCTTTGTTTTCTGTTTGTGAGATATGACCGGAACCAATTTAGAGTATCATCTGAGAGTCCAACCAAATTAAGCTTATGAAGTAAAAGCTTGTGGTCAACTGTGTCAAACATTTTTGAGAGATCTAAAAAACAGCTCCTGTAAGACGACCAGAGTCCATGTTCAGAAGTACATTATCTGTAAAGTGTGTCAAAGCTGTATTAGTTGATAGTTTAGGTTGAAAACCAAATTGTTTGGAGGTAATGATCTTGTTTTCCTTGAGAAAATAGTAGAGTTGGTTATGTGCTGCCTTCTCCAGAATCTTACTCAACGTAGGTAGCACAGCTATTGGCCTGTAATTGTTTGGGTCACAGCGATCGCCTTTTTTGAAGAGGGCAGATACCTTTCCAAACTTCCATAAGGAAGGGAAGGTACGAGTGACCAAAGATTGATGGAACAATTTTGTGAGACTTTTACTAATTACATTAGCCAAGTCTTTCAGAAGACAAGCACTAATATTGTCTAGGCCAATTGCTTTGTTAGTTCTAAGTTGTTTAAGTTGATCGCATACGAACTCTTCAGTGATTGGTTTGAAAACAAACTTTGGTAAATCAGTAGACCTTGCAGGAGGAGATGGTAAGGTAGTGAAGGATTTTAGTTTCATTGCGAGCTTTGAACCAATTGTAGAGAAGTGAACATTTAGGATTTTGGCAATAGATGGATTGTCACAATTTGCTACGCCATCAGCTTCGATACAAGAGATTGGAGAGCTCTGTTTACGTAATGTGATTTCATTCAAGGTTTTCCACAATGCACTTGGATTGCTCTGGTTAACAGATATTAGGTTTGAGTAGTACTCTGCTTTGCACTTTTGTATTTCTTTGTTGACATAGTTCTTAAGCTTCTTGTAATGTGACCAGAGGTGAGGTGAGTTTGATTTAATGGCTCTGCTATGGAGATCATCGTGTTGGCTCATAGCTTGTGATGAACGCAAGTTCATCCACAGACAGCGGACTCCACATATCCTTGCTTTCCTTATAGGGGCAGGTCTATCAGCAATATTAGTAAACAGTTTGTTCCATGTGGAGATGGCACAGTTGACATCTTTCTTGTTTGCAACAGATTCCCAGTCAACATCTCTCAAATCAGTTACAAAATCTTCTTTGGAATAATTTTTGAAAGAACGATATTCAATAGTTTTCCTTGGCGCTTTGGTGACACCTGACTTAATGACACAGAAAATCAAGGAATGATCACTTTTTGTTAAATGAATAACTCCTTGATCAGTCACTCGATGCATTGTATTCGAAAACAATACATCAATCAGAGTAGATGATCTTTCTGTAAGCCATGTTGGTTTGTTGATAAGCTGGTCAAGTTCATGAGAATTTGTTACCTGAATCAATTTACGTTTCATGGCTTTCTCATTATTATTCAAGTTTGAGTCTATGAAATTAACGTTAAAGTCACAGAGTAAAATCAACTCAATGTTTTCAGGTAATACGGATAATGAAGTGTCCAGATCTTGAATAAATGACTCCACATTCAGGTCAGGCGCACAATAGATAGTCCAAATCAACAGCTTTTTGCATTAAGGCCGACATATTTCGATAACACATGACTCAGCAAAAGAAGTACTGAGATCAGGCCTTTGGCGATAAGGAATCCCATCCCGAACGTAAGCCATACATCCACCGCCAACTTTTCCCAATCTATCAGATCGTACGCAAGAGTAGCCAGGAAGGTTTATTTCCTTATCCAAGATAGACGGTTTGAGCCAGGTTTCTGATACAGTGAAAACATCGAATGGCTTGCTCTCCAATAGTATCTTTAAAGAATCCAATTTCGGCATCAAACTTCTCATGTTTAAGTGTGGTATCTTGAGACCTCTAGAGTGGGTAAAATTTTCAACACATAGTTTCACTGGTGGGCCAGGGTTTAGTGAGACATCATTGCATTGTAGCAGTAGAGTGACGAGAAGGACATCTCTTGTTGGGTTGACAAGCAGGGCCGAAGCGTTGTGAGAGAGACCAAAATGGCGTTTGTTTCGATGAAACGATTTCTTCAGTGAGAATTTAGGAGGTGAAAAAGCGTTAACTTCCTGCCCAACTGCCAAACCAGTACTTGCGTAATCACTATTCGGTTGTAGACCAAAACATGGATCCTGTAAATCCCTCTGAATCGTGTATACTAGCAAGATGAAATTCTATTTTTCAAAATAGCTCAAATTTCCTGCTACTTATGAAGGCATACATCCTGTCTCCCATTAAATTTTATTTCAAGTGCTTACGATCGATACATGCATAAAACAATGCTATTAAACATGAAAATGATGTTTATTTGCTGATTTTATTTATGGGCTATTCCAAATTAAAACCTTATTGAGTATTTTGCTTTGTCATGGGCAAAACAAGAAAATGTTCTAAGCTAACCTGTTCTTGGGTAAGACTCTCTATTAACTTAGTGCCTCTCTCCTCCCAAGAGCATAAACAGTTAACAGAAACTGTCAGGTAAGCCTGATGAAATTCTAGGGGCAACCTTTGATGGCCTAGCATGTATATCAAAGGGAATTAGCAATACCTGCAGTCATTTCCAAATAAGTCAGTTCAAAGCTCATTCTTTAGACAAAAAGTAGCATTTCTAGTAGCCAATAAAACAACAACAAAAAAACAATTACCTCATCAATTCACCATCATTCTGGGATTTGATGGCAAAGAATGTGCAAATTTTGTACTCTTATCCTTGTTTCTCTCTTCAACTGCTCCCATTTTGGTGCTGCCAAACTTTGTTCAAGTTAAGATTTTGATTCCACATTTTCCTTTTCAGCCTCAGTCTGCAACTTTTTTTCAAACTCAATCATATCCAGCCCTGTCAATCAAAGAGATCTTTTGTGCACATTCCTGAGAAACTGTGCCTGCACTTCAGGTGGTAAATCATGAGCTTTACCACCAGATTCAAATGATCTGAATGATGACAATGATGACTTAAAAGACCAAAGAAAAAAAAAAAGACATTTACTTCAGATTCCTGGGCTTCGAGCAGATGAATGACTTAATCATCATTTGTTCCTGGGGCAGACGTTAAGTCTGTTTTCCAAGTAGTTTTCTTGGACCGTTTTACTGCGGCCTGTCGTTTTTTTTCAGATTCTTCCAATTCTCTCGAGTTTTTCAATTTGGTGGCCGGCTGCACTAAATCAATTGTAGTTTTATTACTGTGGGCAAAGACCGAAAACTAAATCACAAATTCATTTCTCCATCCAGTTTTTATTAAATCAAGTTCACAGCTAAACAACTTGTCTCGCTACGGAAACAGTTCATTATTAATATAAAATCTGTTATGATCAATTCAGAAATACATAAGTATTATAAACTCACTATCCATTTTTTTTGTCACAAGATGGCAATGATTGTTGCAATGTCTCGTTTCCTATGAATATTTTGCTTACATGTGAACTCAAGTTTAGTCAAAAACCAGAAAAATCTGGCTAAGTTACAATCAAATAAAGTGGTCTAACAAAATTAAACAAACCACTCCTCCTTATTTCTTATGGTAAAAACTGGATCATTGGATAATGCAGTTAAACAGTTTTCATCGGCTTACCCATCTGGGTTATGAGTCATTATACCATGCGCGCGCTTGAAGACCAGTTAAGCCAAAATTGTTATTGAACATTGTAACATTCCGTTTCTTTTTAAAAATTAAAATTGGGAAGCTTTATCTATGTTTTGAATAAAACAATTACTCCACTCGCGCTTCTTGGATATCAGATGATTATAGCCAACTCGGCCATACGGGCCCTCGTTTGCTATCTATCGTTCCAACACGCGCTCATAGAATTATTGTTAACAATTCAACGATACTGAATGAAATAAACTATTGCAAGCATTGCTATAGTTATATGGTTCAGTTTATGAATATCTTGAAGGAACTAATTTGTATTTTTAATCCTATCCTGCAAAATCGAAAACTGTCATGTGACAAGCTAAAACTAGGAATTTCCCTTTAGGTTAAAAAAAATTGACAGTGAAAGTGGGAACGAGAAAGCTCGATATCCAACAATACACGTGGTGCAAAGGATCGATGGACTCACTGATCCATACACGTTGAGACGACAGGGCTGAATAGCGAAATGCTACGTCAGAGGGTATGCTGTCAACAACACGGAATCAAGCATGCGAGGTTTAAAATTTAGAGAATTAGCGGAAAATAATAAGGGTTGGCATTTAAAACCGTGGCATTTTGTTGTCGTCAAAGGCATTTTCCTATTTCCATGTTTTTAAGGAGAAGATTAACTTTCGAAATTTTTTTAGGGGGTGTACAAAGTTTTGGAGGTTGTTTTGTAAAAAAAAAAATAAATAAATAAAAAATAAAACGGCAATGAAAACAACGCCTTGAAGCAACAGAACGGAAGATCAACCATGCAAACGACTCAAAATCCGTTTTCCGCGGCAAAGCCTAGTGCGTGCACAGACGTTATTCAGCTCTGTCCGTCCAGACATGATGAAGTTCATGTTAATAATATTTCGCTGTTTAATGCACGCGCCTGTAGTATCCCTGAGCAAATCATATTCATTGTACACATTATTTGCTGAGTATAATGATGACAGTTATTATTTTGTGATTCCTTCATTATTATTCCATCTTAAACAAACATTTTTTCAGCGTCTATTTCAAGAAATAAAGTTTTTTGCCGAAATAGTCACACACCATAATACGACCATCAGGTGTTGCAGCTATTGCTTTCGGATTTGTTAGCGCAGTAACAGTTTTGCCAACAAAGCGACCTTCCATTGTAAACTGCTGAATGCGTCCATTGTTGAAGTCACACACCAAAAGACTGTGATAGTCGCCATATTTCTCAATATACAAACCCGATGGAGCTAAAAACTGTCCCTTAGCTTTGCCTTCTTCTCCAATCTTATACAAGAACTTCCCTGAATTGTCAAACACTTTCAAACATTGGTCTCCAATGTCAGATACAATAAACTTGTTTTTGTGATAAATGCATCCACTAGGTCTATTTAGCCATCCAGAGCCGACCTCTCCAAATTTGAACCTGAAAGTACCATCTTTGTTCAAGACCTGGATTCTGTTGTTACTGTAATCTGCTACGACAATATGTCCTTTATCATTCACGCAAATGCCTTCGGGTCTATGAAATTCGCCGTCTCCAGTCCCTCTCTTTCCAAAGCTCTTCACAAAGTTTCCTGTCTGTACATTGAATTGCTGAATGCGGTGATTACCGTCATCAGCCACCAGAAGCTTGTCATCATTCAAAAATGTGACTCCAGCTGGTCTTTTCAGCTGCCCAGGCCTTTCTCCATGGCGGCCACATTTTCGCACAAAATTTCCATCCTTATCGAATATTAGAATACAGTGTTTTTCTTTGTCACTTACAGCGATTGTTCCTTCGCTGTTGACAGTAAACCAATTTAGTTGTTCAGGAATTTCTCCCTTTAGTACCAACTCTCCCACAACATCAATCCGTCGTTCCTGCACGTAGACCCAGAGAGGACTGGTAACAAGTTTGCCGCCATTTATCTCGACTTTGATGTTGTATGTGCCAGGGACTTTGGGAACAAACTTCAATTGAAAATTTTCAT